GTTCTTGCTGTACAGTTATTAGATTTTCACACAAAGACATTCACACACATATACAACAGATAAGTTTAGTAACTGTATGGCATGATGATTATTTACTATTTATTAAATGGAAGTAGATCATCATAAAGGTCTTTATCCTCTTTGTCTTCATCTTGATAGTCTGAGAAGGAAGAGGAAGAGAAGTTGGTCTTGCTATTTCAGGGGTGACAGAGGCAAAAGAAGTGGATGAGATGGAAAGAGAGTTAGGAAAGGCAGGCATGCTTGGTTTAACTTTACAAAAAAAAATCATAATCATCATAATTTGTCTTTTTTGCTTTTTCACGTCTCTAAAAATGTTTTTATGTGGTACAATCCTTTTTCTACCATTTGCTTTAGTTTCAGTGTCTCTATCATAGAAGGGTCAATGTTATAAAATAAGTTGAAAGCAGTCTTGAATAACTGGAATCCTTCTGCCAGATTATCTAATGTCAATTTGTTATCTGGCACTGCTTCTGCTATGTCTTCTTCCTTGTGTGGCACTGATTCAGAAGCACTTTTCTCCATCAAGTTATTTATTGTTAATTCCTCTGATGTGGTAACTATTAGATCTTGAATTTCTCCAAGATCCATATCTTGAAACCCTTCATCCCCCATCTTTTTTGCTATATATCCATAATCTCTTTTGTAATTTCCTTGATTGGCTGTGTTATCAATTTTCTGAAGTCATGCACAGCATCTGGACACAGTTTTCTCCAGAAGGAATTTACTCTTTTTAGCTTGTTGGTGTTCATGGCTTTTTCTATAACAACAATGGCAACTTCAGTGGTGTAATCCTTTCAGACTTTCATGATGTTCGCTCTGTTGGGTTCTCTTTCATAGTGTTGACAATCCTTTCAATAGAGTCATATGTAATAAGCCTTAAAGGTCCTTATAATCCGTTGATATGGAGGCTGAATTAGAGACATTATGTTTGGGGCAAGCAGACTACTTTGGTGTTGAACTCATGGGGTTCTGTGTGGTCAGGGGCATTGTGCTATCAAAATAACTTAAAGTTCAAATCCCTGAACAGACACTTCTTCCAAGAAGACCTATAAATAGCCAATACATATATGAAAAGATGCTCAACTCATCTTTTAGAAAAATGCAAATCAAAACCGCAATACCTGTTAGAGTGGCTATGATCAACAAAACAAGAAATAACAAGTGTTAGAAAGGTTGTGGAGAAAAAGGAACCCTCATACACTGCTGATGGAAATGTAAATTGGTGCAGCCACTGTGAAAAACAGTGTGGAGGCGTCTCAAAAATTAAAAATAGAGTTACCATATGACCCAACAATCCCTCTTCTGGGTATCCAGAAGAATTTGAAAACATTTATTTTAAAGATATATATATCCTCTATGTTCATTGCAGCATTATTCATGGTTGGCAAGACATGGAAACAGCTGAAGAGTCCTTTGATAGATAATTGGATAAAAAAAGATGTGGTACACATATACAATGGAATATTACTCAGCCATAAAAAGATGAAATACTGCCATTTGCAAGAACCTGGATGGATTTTGAGAATATTATGCTAAGTAAAATAAGGCAGATGGAAAAAGTCAAGAACCATATGATTTCACTCATAAGTGAGATATAAAACTAAAAGCAAAAATCAACAAGCAAGACAAACAAAAACTCATAGACACAGACAAGAGTATAGTGGTTATCAGAGGGGAAGGGAGGTGGGGCAGAGGTAGAAAAGGATAAAGGGGTCAAATACAGGTGATGAAGGAAATTTGACTTTGGGTGGTGAACACACAATCCAATATACAGAGGATGTATTATAGAATTTTATATTTGAAACCTATATAATTTTATTAACCAATGTTACCCCAATAGATTTAATAAAATTAAAAAAAAACTTTAAAAGGCAGTCACTTGATCATTTCATAAACTACATAAATATTTAACCAATGTACTATATACTTGAAACTAATAAAAAAATATTAATAATAAAATAAAAAGGCAGTCACTTAGTGGCAAGGGTATTTCCTGACTTCAGGGACAAAGTATCGATGGAATTAATACAGAAAATGATTCTCATTGCCCAGGACTCCTTGTTGTACAACCAAAAGACTGGTAGCTGGAGTTTATTTTTTCCCTTCACAGCTCAGAAATTATAGATAAGGGCACGCCTGATCATAAACCTGGCAACATTCACATAAAACAGTAGAGTTAGCCTATTTCTTCCTGCCTTCATTCCTAATGCTCGCTTCTCCACCTTACTAATAAATGTCTTATGTGGCATTTTTTTTTTTTTCCAGAATAGGGCACTTTTTGTCTGCATTAAAAACCTGTTCAGACAGATATCTTTTTTCTTCAGTGATTTTCTCACTGGTGTCTGGGAACTCTGTTGCCTCTTGGTCGGCGAATGTGCTTCTCCTGTTATCTTGACATTTTTTAAGCCAAACCTCTTTCTAAAATTATCAAACCGTCCTTCGCTGGCGTTAAATTCTCCAGCTTTAGAGACTTCACCTTTCTTTTGCTTTAAGTTGTTACATAATGACTTCACTTTTTCTTGAATCATATTAGAGTCTATAGATATGCCTTTCTTATAGCAGTCTTGCACTCACATAAAAGCTGCATTTTCAATATGAGATAAAAAGGATTTTATGCCTGCTAGTGTAGTTACTGTGATGGCTTCACATTGTCTTTTTTTTTTTTTTTTTACAGTGTTCCTTACACTGGATTCATTCATCTTGCAATGGTGGGTGCAGACCATAACCTATGGTACATATTGAGCTATTCAAATTTTTCAGGTAATATCATGACTTTTCTCTGTTTCTTGGGATCATTTCCAGCATCACTAGGGGAACTTTGTATGGGTCCCACGGTGTTATTTACGGTTTATGGTATTACACTAAACACGATGAAAAATACATTAGAACTGCAAGAGATCACTCTTTTACTATGATACACAATTTACTGGAAAGACAAACTGCTCAATGGAGATGATTAGCATTGCATGGTGTTTTAAGCAGATACTAGAAATACTTATGTTCATTGCAACAGCGACAGGAGGTGGCTAAAAATTTATTACAGTAAAACAGTACATATTACAATTAATTTATGCAGTTATGATTTCATACTACATCTTTGCATTTGCTTACAGTTCTCTTAACTGTGAGTGGTATCATGTATGGTTTGTAAGTGTTTTGGCATAAATTTTGATAACTTTAAAATTTTTATAACAGATCTGAATATATTTTATAGTAGTAATTGATGAAATAGATTAGTATCTATATATATTTTATGCACTTATTACACATCTATCTTTTTCTTAATTTTTTTGGATATTTCTAGGCTATATGGTTCATTTGTGAGTTTTTCAATTTGTTGCAAATCTCCAAAAAATTCTCTAATATATCTATTTTAAAAATCTGCATTAAGTGGACTTATGTAGTTTAAACCCATGATATTCAAGGGTCAACTGTTTATTGAAAGAAACTTAAAGACTTGTTAATCAAAAGTATGGATATTTTTGGATCCTGATTTCTACTGCTCCAAATTCATATATAACTTATGAGACAACTAGGAAAACAAGACACTAACTGATATTAAGATTCTACTCTTAATTTTTAGATGTGATAATGACTGCATTGTTTAAGCATCATTATATATCTTGATACATTTTCAGATGGAATGGTACAATATATGGAACTCGCTTCAAAATAATGCATGATGGTGGTGGGACGGTGGTGAGTAGTGGTAAACGAAAGAAAATTGATTGTTGTTAGAGTTGGATGATAGCCACATAGTTCATTTTTGTATATGTTTGAAAAATTACATTTTATATTATTTAAAAATGCATGTTCCTAGGCCCAATCTCTGAACTATTGAATTAGAATAGTTCTGGGAATCTGAATTATTAACAAGTTCAAAAATGACTATATGCACATTAAAATTTTGGAATCACAGTCCTGAAACAATATATCCCATGGTTCTTGCTCTTATCAGTGACATATAGTCAATTATATACACATGCCATATCTTTAAAGATAGAAACTATGTCTTGCATCTCCCAAGGCCATATATCTTATATATACTCAATAAATATTTGTGATGTTAGTCACAATATTCGTTGTTGTTCACTCTGAGTAAATATTTTAGGTCTATATTATATAAGACTTACCTATATATTCCAAGATATTTGGTCCCTTTGGCATCAGAAGCGTTCACCTTCTTATACCCTTAGCAATAATCCTCTGTGGAATTTCTTTCTTAATGGTATTTAACACTCCTAATTCCTAAATGGCCAATATCTTTATACCTCATGCAGCAAGGATAAGATCGAACAGGATGAGAACAAAATAGCCACCTCTTTCAAAGACAGATGAAAATAGAGAATATTAGCAGCCAAGTGTAGAATAACAACACTGATAATTATATATGTAATATATAGTATATGTATATATAATCTTTTCAAGAAAAAGAAATTAAATGTTTCCACCTGCCATTACCTCCTAAACTTTGACTTTCTAAATTTTTGTTTGTTTGCAATGGTTTATTTATTAAGTAACCAGTTTAACTCTCCTAAGAGAGTATTCTTGGGAAAACATAATCTTTTATTCAGATTTGTTTTCCTAAAGACCTAGTATTCCCTATACCTACACCTTGGAACTCTTGAAAGAACTCTATAACAGATTCTGTCCTATTACTGGTCCCGTGTTCTAGTTCGCACAAACAAGCTAGGCGGTTTTGAAATTGACACTATTTTTACTGGGTTCTGGTTTTGCCATATACATAATTCTAAAACAAATGTCAGTCATCTCTAAGTTCATCTACCATTTTATGCTACTTTTAGGAAAAAATATTTCACCTAACATTTAAATAGAAAACACAACGTTCTAGGGGAAAAAAAGATACAAAATGGTTTTACCTCAGCATCTTAGATGATAATAAATAAGGTCAAATGCATACATTCTGTTCTGAAGGTGTAAATCCAGGAATATGAAGGATTTTTCCCACTTTGGCTTACCTGTTTATGAGCATGATCATAAGAATTAATATGATTGTCAAATTCCTGGTGTTTGTGATACTGCTTGTCACATAATTCACAGTAAAAGTTTGCCTTTACATCTTCCAGGGCCTTTGCTGTGGACTTCTCCTTTTCTGGAAAATCCTTTAAAAAAAAAAGGCAAATGTGTTGGTTATATTTCTCTCTAATATCATAACCAGATAACTTATTATTCAAGTTGATAATTTTACTGTGACTGAAATAATATGGTGAGGCTAATTATTTTTCGAAAGTTCATGGCACTGTGGAAGTAACTTTCAGCTCAGCCTTATCTCTAAGTTATCAATAAATACATAATAAACTATCTCGAAGAAGCCCTAAGCTGCAATCTGGTCATTATTCATCCTTCTTATTGCCCATTTCCAGCTTGCGGTTCTGTTGACTCACCTAACTGGAAATCTCAGTACCATTTCCTCTGCCTATCCAAATGACCCATCTCAAACATTACAAGCCCTCTCTACTACAATATTTTGTTGAAACATTAATTACATTGTTTTATATCATTCACTGCATGTCATGTATTTTAGTCTCACTGAGATCATCAGTGTTGAGACTTGCTATTCTCTGCACATAATGCATTTGCTACCTTGTTAAATTGGTAAGTTTGTACTTCTTTCCCAAACCAGCTCTTTGCACTCTTTGGAAGTTTTTTCCATGACTATTCTGGAAGGAGAAAGCCTCCATTATGTTACTTATTACCAAACACATCTATGATCATTTCTACTTTGTCTCCTTCATGGACAGTTCTGTTGATTTTAACTCTTATATTTTTGTATGACACACAAGTTCATCTTCACCCAACTGATTATCCACTCAACACGTTCTCCCTGGGAGATCTCCCCACTCACACTATAGCTACAGCCCTATTTATCCATAATCCCTAACTCCAGTCTAAGTTTCTCCCATAAGCATCAGTTCCTCACAGATATAACCAATGAGTTTATCACATATTTTTCAAGACTATTACCCTTACAATTTGACCATGCTTTATCTCAAAAAGTACTTTGGTCACTTTGTTCCTCTGCTTAAAATCTTCTTGAATTTTCTCATTGCCTAGAGAATAATAGTAATGAATACTATTGAGCATAAATATGTGCCAGCTATTGGGCTAAGTATGTGAATTATCTCATTTATTCCTCACAACAACCCTACAAAAATAAGTTCTGTGTAAATCTACATTTTACAGATATTTCAGCCAACACTTAGATCACACACTCATAGTCACTGAATTAGTGAGAGGAGATTCAAATTCAGATAACTTATGCCTCACTCCCATGGTAATAAACAACTGTACTTTACCATCTACTTTTAAGGCCAATCCTATTAATATACCACACAAGCTCCTTCCTACTTCATCAGTATCATCTTGTATCAATTCATGCTCCCAAATTACCTTTTAAATTCTATTACTAGACATGTCTCATGATGTTAAATTGTCTGTTTTCATGTCTATTGCTCCCATAAATCCTTTGAAGGCAGGGACTGTGTTATTCATTTTTGTCTCTACAACACCAACATAATGTTTAGCCCAGAATTGGTATCTACTTAATATGCATTACATAAATTAACAGTTGATGGTAGCTTACATGGCTCCTACCATTCTGCAAGTTCTTCTCTATTATCCCAGTGCCTAAATAAAAGAATGATTGGCACATAGATGATATCAAATAAATATGCATAAAAATGGGTGAACAAAATACAGGATGGGTTTTAGCTTTGTTTTTCTAAAATGACTAACCCTCTATAAAAAGAAATCAGACCATGAACCTAAATCATAGGGGCATCACTGCCTAGACAAGAAAACAAACACAAACAATTCAGGCACATCCTTACAGGGTTGGGTGAAGCGATGGAGCAATTACTAAATTTAGACATAGGAAAATAATTATTAAAGCCCAAATATAAGAGCTAACATGCATGGCAAATGACAGGAAAAACATGAGTATCATTACCAAGCAGCAAAACTAGACCAAATATCTGGATTGCCTATCTAAGAGAGTTAAAGTAGAAATTTGAAGACATTCAAGGTTAATGGGAGATATAAAAGCTATTGAAAAGGATGTATCCAGTGATGAGAATATGGATTCTGATTTCAGAAAAAGTCTCAATTACTCTAAGAACTGGGATAATGGCCTCCTAATGTAGTCACTGTTGAGAATTGAGGCTGGACTATAATTGAGGTAGAGCTAAATCTCTTGATTTAGTTGGCTTAGAATCAGGGGAAATCATTATTTGTTATTCAGTCATTCTTGCTAAGATTTTTTCATGCCCTTTTTAGTATAATTTCAGGAACAGGATTGGAACTAGGGACTATTTTGGTTTAACCATGGTTCTTCTTACTTTACTATGACACTGGAATAGCCTTAGAAAACTCACCATATGCCTTAGATATTGAGCAACTCTGCCTCAGTAATTAAAAATGCCTCAGCTTTATTAACTGATTGTGATGTGGGTGGCAACTGAGAATACAGGATGAACATGTGATTAAAATGTATTTTCACATTATTCCAGATTATGTAGAGAATTTTATGACAATAACTCAATGGCTAGGATTGAAGCTTCTCCGATTACCTGGTATCTTCATCTAAACATGTTTTATCTCTAAACCATCCTTTAATTATAATATTACATGATTTTCAATGAAAAAATAATATAGTTATAATTAGAATTTTACCAACATTTTAGTCACATACCATTTCCTGTGAATGTTCACATTTTACAAAGTTATCAGACTAAATTACGTATCCCATTTCTTGAAAGGAAGTGGTGCTGATATACCTATTTCTCTTCCTTTTAAGGATTAATGATATCCCCCAGGGTGTATCCTAGTCCCTTTATTAGGAGAAGAAGCATGCATAAGTGAGATATAAATGTCATTAGTAAAACACATAGAGTTCAAAATCCAGTGTATCCAGCAAAGCCTGAAGTAAGAGCATAAACCCAACAGCATATGACTGGGGATGAAAAAAGGGAAAGCTGAGACCTGGTGGTAGAAATCTCAGGCAGAGAACAATATAGCCAAGAGTTGGGTAGGGGCAGAGGAATTACAGAGGAAGAGAAAAATAAATGAGTATTTAAAATCTTTGGCAAAACTTGAAAACTGAGATTAGAGCTAAAGCTGAGTAAAAGGACTGTGACCCAAATGGTCCGTAATATTACTCAGCGAGAGGTAGGCCTGTTCTCAGTATGAAATTGGAATATCTATGAAAATGGAGCTGAGTTGGTCTAGCCATATGTTCCAGAGGCTGGAGGGTAAGGACTCAGACTAGTAAGAGAGGTATTATGCAGTTTAAAGCTACTGTTTAGCAGAAGAGACAAATGATGTTTAGTAATATCGTGACTTGTATAAAATTAGGCAATGGTAAAGCAGGGACACACTCTCCACTGTATTATGCTGCCTCATCCACCCAACCATCTATTCAACCATAACCATACATTTATCCAATTAACCATTAAGCATTAATGCATTCAAAAATCTCCTGTTAAGCAACTTCTAAATGTCAATTTCTTACTGGGTCTTCCCTTCAGAATTTTACAGTCTAGTATGGGATAATTACATGTAAAGAGATGAACACTGTAAATTATGATAGAGTGATAATCACAAGTTACTATAGAGTTTACTTAGTTTTTACTAGGTAAGAATAATTGTTTTTTACATTCCACAAAAAAAAAAACAAAAACAAAATCAAAACAGATAAACAACAAAAAAACTAACAAAACTCATAAAGGCAGACAACAGATCGGTGTTTACCAGAGGGGTGGTGGGGTGGTGGGAGGGAAAAATGGGTCACAGGGGTCAAATGTATTGTGATAGATAGAAATTAGAATTTTGGTGATGAGCACAATATAATATATTCGGATGTCGAATTATAATGCTGCACATCTGAAACTTCTAATATATTAGAAGCCAATGTTATCTCAATAAAAAATAAAATAATTTTAATAAAATAATTGGAAGAAAAAGTCAGGTTTTTTTTTTCTGTTTCACCCATAGCATTGACTGGGTACCCTGTAAGCACTCAGAATTTCAAATAACCTTAAAGGCAAACTAAGGTGATATTTACTCTCTAAAATAATACACAGTCTTTAAATATATTTAGAGATATGGAATAATTATGGAAGGAGTAAAAATATCCACCTATTCTCAATATCAGTAAATTTAAAAATAAAGTCAATAAAGTTCACAATAATACAGTAGGCATACAAAATTTGATGTATAACTCCATTATTGATTTGCTAGTTATATAAAGTTCTCTTCTCACTGCCTATGAAGAGGAGGCTTTCGAATCTCATTTAACAGAGAAAAATAACATTTATGAAAAAAAGAAAACTTGTTAACCATTCTCAATGATTCATTGAAAGGTTGAAAAAGAATTATAAATTTAACATGACAGTTATCTTAACAAGAGTCATTTAAAAAACATTAGGTATTACCAGTAGGCATTTTACGTTGCAGTTCAGTAAGAATTTTGTAGTAATTAATTACTTTTCATAATTAATATTTTGGTTGCGAGAAGAGAAAATGTATTTTTTCACACCAAGAATTTTACATTCATGAATAGGTGTGTCTGTAAAATGGCAAGCATTCTGACTAGAGTAATGCATTTAATTAGAAATATGGATGTTTGCTACCAAATTATTTTTATTATTAAGATGATGCTTCTGTACTAATATCCACTGAACTCTCATTATAAACCAGAAATCTGCCAAGCACTCCATACATCTTAACTCCCTTAATCTTCACAATACTCTTATGAGTTATTATTTATTATTATCCCATATAAAGATATGGAAGGCAAGGCACAAACACATTTAGAAACTCTCTTGATGTTGAAGAGTAGAGACTGGATTTAGACTTAGATCTGCCTGACTTCGGAAGCTGTTAATCACCATGTTCACAGCTGCCCCAATTATTTAGCCTTTATCCAGATGTCACATAACTCTGAACTGTCTCTGCTAACTTTTATGTAGATTTAGGATGATATAGAAACCCTAGCTCCCAGAGAGAGTTAGAGGACTAATTATAATTTTTAAAAATCTATAAAGCCCTTAAAGCTGAGAGATGGGCACTAGGAAAATACAAGGTGATAGTTCTGTTTCTACTG